CATAAAACTTAAAAATAATAACACCGATATTAATTTTATGAAACGTAATCGGTTTTGTAAACGGGCTACTCGTTGTTCATACATTGTGCTGCCTCGACGATCACGGGCGAGTCTAGATATTTAACAATACTACTATTGAGCAAACGTAATAAATCAGTCTTGGACTTTCGAAAATGTATAAAATAAATTTAAACAAATGTAAAGACGTCTTAATCGCGACGGTTTACTCGTTCGAATCGGTTAACGATTTAATTAAAATAGAGTTAAACGTTTGGCAGTCTTTTTTTTAATAGAAATCGGGACGGCTTTAATAGCCGAATAGGTAATATATTTTTACAATGACAATTAAAATTGTTTTTACTATTTTCGGTGTAATCTTAAGTCGATTCGGTCGGTGTTGCCGCCGTCAAAATATCGCATAGAGTTTTGATGATAACTACGCGACACGTAAAACTACTAACGACCCAAATTCGACACCGCCCCCTTCGGTCTCTTCATACCGCAGACTCTTAGAGCCTACGCGATAATTTTTCAATACACGTGCAGATTGCGAATCGAAAAGATTTTTTAGTTTAACTCGAAATTAACGAGTCCTAATCGACCTCGAAAGAGGTGTATCGTTGAATAGTCGGACTGGTCGGAACAACCTCCTGCGGCACGTCGGCCGTCGATTTAAAGTGAAAATTCGACCGACCGACGGCTTTGCTATAACGTTGGCTTTAAGGAGAACGAGATTTGTCGCCGTTACGTGATTTTCGAGTGGAAAAAACGAGATGAAACGGAACGGGATCACGTCAAAACGGAAAATTCGATTCCGTAAACGTTTACTAGTCGGTATGGCGGCGAGTATATAGACGGCGTGATGGCCAAACGCGGGTTATACACACCGTTCCTGTTCGTTTTACCAGAGTACCAGAGTCTATTTCAAACCGCTTCACCATGACCGACACCGCAGTCGCCGCCCCAGCACCAGCCGCCTCGTCGCCGGCCCAGGCCAAGTCGCCGAAAAAGAAGTCCGCCGCTCCCAAGGCGAAGAAAGCCGCACCGGCCCATCCTACCACGGCCGTGATGGTGATCGCAGCCGTCAAGGAACTGAAGGAGAAAAAAGGATCGTCGTTGCCGGCTATCAAGAAATACTTGGCCGCCAACTACAAAGTGGACGCTGCCAAGCTGGCGCCTTTCATCCGCAAATTCCTTAAGTCGGCCGTCGCCAGCGGCAAGCTGGTCCAGACCAAGGGCAACGGAGCGTCGGGCCATTTCAAATTGGCCGCGGAAGTCAAAAAAGAGAAGAAGGTAGCGCCGAAAAAGAAGCCGATCGCCAAGAAAGCGGCGGTGTCCAAGGCGCCCGGAGCGGCCAAGAAGAGGAAGAGCACCGGTGCCAAGAAACCGAAATCCGGCGAGCCCGCCGCCAAGAAGGTGAAAAAGGTAGCCGCAGCGCCTAAACCCAAAGCCGCGAAACCGAAAAAGTCTCCGGCCAAGGCTAAGAAAGCGCCGGCCACCAAAGCCAAGGCACCCAAGGCGAAGAAGGTGGCAGTCAAGAAGACGGCAGCGCCCAAAAAGAAGGCGTAATTTGTTAAAAACACTCTCTCTAAACCCTTAAAACGGTCCTTTTCAGGACCACCAAATATTTATAAAATACTAATATACACACAATAAACGTGTGTCGGTCACCGGCGGTGTCTCGTACCGATATTTAATATTTTATAGATTATAGTAATACAAACTACGGTAAGTAACAGTGGTTGAAATGGAATGAAAACGTTAAAGCGACTACAATACGGGTAAATACGTTTGTTATTGTATATTTAGGAAAATGATGTCCTACAGATACAAACTTAGAATAAATCCGTAGTTTATCAACTGTTAGTTGGTATTACCCATAGAATATAAATAAAATAGAATTATGACAATCGTATTTTAAACAGATTGAAAGGGCAGGGGTGACGCTTTACCCGACGCCTTTAGAACGGACGAGCGGGAAAAATTAATAATAATAAAAATACCAACTATAAAAAAATACTTGGCTATCGCAGATAACAACATTTAATTGATTTGACAATACATAGGACTGTCTGGCCAGTCCTAAACCCTAATTGACTTATAATTACAAGTATGGCTGTATGCCCATAAGTAAACAAAGAAAAACAAAACTTTAAATATATCAAAATAACAATAATTATAAAATATTACAAATTGATCTGACTGATTAAAAACGGAAAATAACAACAGACGCGGCCGCTGTGCGTTAAACGGCACACGCGAGAGATAGATAACAGGACAAAAACAAAAAATAAAAACAAATGAGCGGAATGAACGACCCACGTCGTTGGCCGCGGGAAATTATAATGTAATTCAAAATTGATCTATTTCTCAGACCATTCGGTACAAGTCCCGGGCCCTAATAATATAATATATACGCGAATGCAATAATATTATACTCTGCCAGTAAACTGTGTCGTTATGAAATTAACTCGAGTGAGCAGATCACTGTTGTATTTTATTTTAGTTAATAAAGCTGTTATATACATATATGGCTAATTTAAGTGTTATCTATAGCTAATATTGTTTTCTAATTTGTGTAGTGAATTTATATTTTTAGTAACATAATGTGAACAAATTCGCTGAATGCACAAATAAAATACACGTCGTAGTACTAACCAACGACAAACATAATATAATAATGATACAAATGAAGATAACACATACGGCGGTCGTCGACATTGTCCATAAAAAATAAAAAACCCCAGATATTAATAACTTAAATAGGATACACTACGAAGAATAATAATAATATATTATAACGTGTATCAGAATAATAATTTGGTGGCCCTGAAAAGGGCCGTTTTAAGTGGATATAGCGCGCGACTAACATCGAAATGCTTATTTGGAACTGGTGTACTTGGTCACGGCCTTGGTGCCTTCACTGACGGCGTGCTTGGCCAATTCACCGGGCAACAGTAGACGGACTGCGGTCTGGATCTCCCGGCTGGTGATGGTCGAACGCTTGTTGTAGTGGGCCAGACGGCTGGATTCGGCGGCGATGCGTTCGAAAATGTCGTTGACGAAGCTGTTCATGATGCTCATCGCCTTGGAGGAAACGCCGGTGTCGGGGTGCACTTGTTTCAACACCTTGTAGATGTAAATACCGTACGATTCTTTCCTCTTCGGCTTGCGCTTCTTGTCGGACTTGGTGATGTTTTTCTGCGCCTTGCCGGACTTCTTCATGGCCTTGCCTGCGGATTTACCTCCTGGTGCCATAGTAACTGCGGTCGTACACGGTTTGCGGGTCGTCGAAATAGTTAGCCGGTAGCTGGTGGACGAATGATGGTTCGAAAATCGTTTACGCTCATATTTATTACGCGTCGCGACTTGGTTTATCGAGTACGATTTGTAAGAGTCGACGAAAAAACGACGAGTAAGATTAACACTTTGTGTTTAAAGGCGAACCCTACGATTTGCCGTTTTTTCATCGTCAACGTCCATGCATCGAAGAAAAACACGACGAGTGTAAACAACACTTTGCACTGAACGTTTATATTTACAAAGTGTGGTTTTTCGTCGTCGTCATTTTCAAACGTAGGCCAACATACAGACGCATTTACGTCGTATAAGTGTATAAATACCGATTTTAGCCTGTTCCGATCATCAGTATCGTCTGGATTTTCTCTCGTTTCACTACACGACAATCTACAATCAAGCATCATGAGCGGACGCGGCAAAGGAGGAAAAGCAAAGAGCGGCAAATCGAAGACCCGGTCGTCCCGTGCCGGACTCCAGTTCCCGGTCGGTCGTATCCATCGTCTGTTGAGGAAGGGCAACTACGCCGAGCGCGTCGGTGCCGGCGCTCCCGTGTACCTGGCCGCCGTCATGGAGTACTTGGCCGCTGAAGTGTTGGAATTGGCCGGTAACGCCGCCCGTGACAACAAGAAGACCCGTATCATCCCTAGACATTTACAGTTGGCCATCAGGAACGACGAGGAGTTGAACAAACTGTTGTCCGGCGTCACCATTGCCCAAGGTGGTGTGCTGCCCAACATCCAAGCCGTCCTTTTGCCCAAGAAGACCGAAAAGAAAGCTTAAGAACGCGTCGTCGCCGTATTTATACATATTAAAACGGCCCTTTTCAGGGCCACCAATATTAACTATTTTTACAACACTCTTGTTGTTTTCGGCATAGATGATGTGTGGCGTTGTGCTAAATATCGTTGTATTATTTTGTCAAGCCTTAGCAAATATTTGTAGCTTAGAATTTCAGCAAATCTACTTTAATTTTTTCTTTAGGTCAATAACAATTTATAAAATATGACTATAACTCGAACTGGAAATAATATTTAAGTGTAATATAAATAAATAATTTTTTTTTTTTTTCCAACATTCCAGTTTGCTATTTAGCTACATCAGCCGGCACTACAATGATAACGTCATTGGTTAATATCGAAATATTGTCATCGATATTAATAGATATTATAGATTTAGATCAATATTATATTATTGTGATAGTAAATTAGTACTATATCATATATGTCTATTTCGCCAATGGGCTATAATTATAAAAACCGTATATTACCCACGTGCGATTCTACTACTTGTATAATATACAAATATACAATTAGTATGTTATATTTTTTATATTAAATTATACGTTTAGTTTGTTTTATTGTTTTATGTCAACTAACATGTATGTTACAAAGAACATAATAGTCTGTATGTACCATAAAAAATATTAGTTTGAACAATTACAAATGTATACCGTTAAAAAACTACTCGTGTAGTTATTTATATTATTATAATGGCAATACGCTACAACGTTTTGTCAGTTTTTACAATATATATATACTTGATAAAATTAACTATTATTATGCACCTCCAGTCTCATAACTTAGAATACTCATTAAATATACTCGACTGCATTAAATGACATAAACGTTAACCGACAATTGTAAATAATATAAAATGGTGGCCCTGAAAAGGGCCGTTTTAAAGAACAGTAGGTAGGGTGCAAAGCGAACGGTCGTCGGGAATTAACCCCCGAATCCGTACAGAGTGCGGCCTTGGCGTTTCAGAGCGTAGACCACGTCCATGGCGGTGACGGTCTTCCTCTTGGCGTGCTCGGTGTAGGTGACGGCGTCGCGGATTACGTTTTCCAGGAACACCTTCAACACTCCGCGGGTCTCTTCGTAGATCAGGCCGGAGATACGTTTGACACCACCGCGGCGGGCTAACCGACGGATGGCCGGCTTGGTGATTCCTTGGATGTTGTCCCGCAGCACTTTACGATGACGTTTGGCGCCTCCTTTTCCCAAACCTTTTCCTCCTTTGCCGCGTCCGGTCATTGTTGCTGATTGTCGTTCGGAGAGCTGCGTCGGACTGATGAAACAAGTCGAATGATGCCCGGACAACGTTTTCGCGTCGTATTTATGTAATCGGGCCGTCGCGCGGACCAATCACGGCGCGGTATCGCGCGAACCCCCTCTGTTTCGGCAGGCCGTTCCGTCGACCAATGAGAACTCGCGCCTACTATCCGAATTTGTATATAACCAGCTCGTTCGGTGTGCGGAGACACATTCGACCGTTTCGAGTTTTTACACACAGTCTACGATCTACCGACATGGCCCGTACCAAGCAAACCGCCCGCAAATCTACCGGAGGCAAGGCTCCCAGGAAGCAGTTGGCCACCAAAGCCGCCCGCAAGAGCGCACCGGCGACCGGAGGAGTGAAGAAACCCCATCGTTACCGTCCCGGTACCGTGGCTCTCCGTGAAATCCGTCGTTACCAGAAGAGCACCGAGCTGTTGATCCGCAAATTGCCGTTCCAACGCTTGGTCCGCGAGATCGCCCAAGACTTCAAGACCGACTTGCGTTTCCAGAGCTCGGCCGTCATGGCTCTGCAAGAAGCCAGCGAAGCGTACTTGGTCGGTCTGTTCGAAGACACCAACTTGTGCGCTATCCACGCCAAGCGCGTTACCATCATGCCCAAGGACATCCAGTTGGCTCGCCGTATTCGCGGAGAACGTGCTTAATCGTCTCAATACACTACAAATCCTCTTTAAAACGGCCCTTTTCAGGGCCACTACATGCGTTACAATTATTTCTTTATAGACCTTACAGCGGGCGCCGCGCTGTTGGTAAAATGAATACAACAGTTTTGTACTTAATAGTTTTATTATTATCGACGGTGGTGGGTACCCCCCCGAGAATGTTGTTACTTACATTTTTAAATTAATGTTGAAAATTCCCAACGACCCGTTTTTATTGAAGTATTATTTATATTCAAAAAAAAAGCGGGTAAAAGAATAGGCGGTAGACACGGCGGTGGCGATGGACGACGAACGGGTCGGTGTAGCGTTAGGCACAGTGTGAAACGTATTTTTGGCGCGCGCGGGAAGTAGTCGGCGGCGGCGGCCGCGTTATAGTCGATATGAGTTTGTTAGGTTGTAGAACGCGGTGTGTAAAGGAATTATTATTTTCTATCCGGTTTGTCCGACGGGAGGGATGGACGCGTTACTAAAAAAAAAAAAATAAAAAACCCCGTAGATTGTGGCGCGTCGTTTAAAACTATGTTATCTGAAAGTAGGTAGATACGGGCTCCGCACGTTTCGGCGGCACTGAATTTAAAACACACGGAGAGAGTGACGATATCAATAGGTTCTGATAAGTTTGTGAAAACTGAAAACTAAATAATAATATATCACTTGCTAATGTGAAATGGCCATTGTTGAGCTGGCGTTTGTATTTTGTGTATCGAATAGCCTATGTACAATTGATTATAAAAGTCAAATTTTTTTTTGAAATTTTGGGAAAATATGAAAAAACCCGTTTAATAAAATGTCCAAAACAAACAGTTGTTACCTGTAAATTGCAATTTTTTTTTGTAAAAAAATATTTTCCCAACCACGTTTAAAATGAAAAAGTAAAGTAGGTTCGGCACTCAAATGTGAGTAAACGAAAAGTTTTGGACTATTTCTGGAGTAAAAAAAAAAGAACATGACGATTTTATTCATAAAATAAATTTTGTACTTCTAATTTTACAATAATAAATTAGCATTTTCGTTTAATAAAATGAGAAATAATCGTTTCCGACTTTAATATTTTAAAATACAATATGTAATACCTATGTGAAAACCGTTATGTTGATAATACGTTTTTATTCGACAAACGGTCCAATATTACATGCCTCATGGCAATTACTGCAGACGATAACTTTTGGAAATGGGCCTACACATAAAGTATATGTTTATCAGGTAAAAAATGGGTTATGGAAATTTATTTCAAGACAAAATAAACCAAAACGTTATCATAAAACTTAAAAATAATAACACCGATATTAATTTTATGAAACGTAATCGGTTTTGTAAACGGGCTACTCGTTGTTCATACATTGTGCTGCCTCGACGATCACGGGCGAGTCTAGATATTTAACAATACTACTATTGAGCAAACGTAATAAATCAGTCTTGGACTTTCGAAAATGTATAAAATAAATTTAAACAAATGTAAAGACGTCTTAATCGCGACGGTTTACTCGTTCGAATCGGTTAACGATTTAATTAAAATAGAGTTAAACGTTTGGCAGTCTTTTTTTTAATAGAAATCGGGACGGCTTTAATAGCCGAATAGGTAATATATTTTTACAATGACAATTAAAATTGTTTTTACTATTTTCGGTGTAATCTTAAGTCGATTCGGTCGGTGTTGCCGCCGTCAAAATATCGCATAGAGTTTTGATGATAACTACGCGACACGTAAAACTACTAACGACCCAAATTCGACACCGCCCCCTTCGGTCTCTTCATACCGCAGACTCTTAGAGCCTACGCGATAATTTTTCAATACACGTGCAGATTGCGAATCGAAAAGATTTTTTAGTTTAACTCGAAATTAACGAGTCCTAATCGACCTCGAAAGAGGTGTATCGTTGAATAGTCGGACTGGTCGGAACAACCTCCTGCGGCACGTCGGCCGTCGATTTAAAGTGAAAATTCGACCGACCGACGGCTTTGCTATAACGTTGGCTTTAAGGAGAACGAGATTTGTCGCCGTTACGTGATTTTCGAGTGGAAAAAACGAGATGAAACGGAACGGGATCACGTCAAAACGGAAAATTCGATTCCGTAAACGTTTACTAGTCGGTATGGCGGCGAGTATATAGACGGCGTGATGGCCAAACGCGGGTTATACACACCGTTCCTGTTCGTTTTACCAGAGTACCAGAGTCTATTTCAAACCGCTTCACCATGACCGACACCGCAGTCGCCGCCCCAGCACCAGCCGCCTCGTCGCCGGCCCAGGCCAAGTCGCCGAAAAAGAAGTCCGCCGCTCCCAAGGCGAAGAAAGCCGCACCGGCCCATCCTACCACGGCCGTGATGGTGATCGCAGCCGTCAAGGAACTGAAGGAGAAAAAAGGATCGTCGTTGCCGGCTATCAAGAAATACTTGGCCGCCAACTACAAAGTGGACGCTGCCAAGCTGGCGCCTTTCATCCGCAAATTCCTTAAGTCGGCCGTCGCCAGCGGCAAGCTGGTCCAGACCAAGGGCAACGGAGCGTCGGGCCATTTCAAATTGGCCGCGGAAGTCAAAAAAGAGAAGAAGGTAGCGCCGAAAAAGAAGCCGATCGCCAAGAAAGCGGCGGTGTCCAAGGCGCCCGGAGCGGCCAAGAAGAGGAAGAGCACCGGTGCCAAGAAACCGAAATCCGGCGAGCCCGCCGCCAAGAAGGTGAAAAAGGTAGCCGCAGCGCCTAAACCCAAAGCCGCGAAACCGAAAAAGTCTCCGGCCAAGGCTAAGAAAGCGCCGGCCACCAAAGCCAAGGCACCCAAGGCGAAGAAGGTGGCAGTCAAGAAGACGGCAGCGCCCAAAAAGAAGGCGTAATTTGTTAAAAACACTCTCTCTAAACCCTTAAAACGGTCCTTTTCAGGACCACCAAATATTTATAAAATACTAATATACACACAATAAACGTGTGTCGGTCACCGGCGGTGTCTCGTACCGATATTTAATATTTTATAGATTATAGTAATACAAACTACGGTAAGTAACAGTGGTTGAAATGGAATGAAAACGTTAAAGCGACTACAATACGGGTAAATACGTTTGTTATTGTATATTTAGGAAAATGATGTCCTACAGATACAAACTTAGAATAAATCCGTAGTTTATCAACTGTTAGTTGGTATTACCCATAGAATATAAATAAAATAGAATTATGACAATCGTATTTTAAACAGATTGAAAGGGCAGGGGTGACGCTTTACCCGACGCCTTTAGAACGGACGAGCGGGAAAAATTAATAATAATAAAAATACCAACTATAAAAAAATACTTGGCTATCGCAGATAACAACATTTAATTGATTTGACAATACATAGGACTGTCTGGCCAGTCCTAAACCCTAATTGACTTATAATTACAAGTATGGCTGTATGCCCATAAGTAAACAAAGAAAAACAAAACTTTAAATATACCAAAATAACAATAATTATAAAATATTACAAATTGATCTGACTGATTAAAAACGGAAAATAACAACAGACGCGGCCGCTGTGCGTTAAACGGCACACGCGAGAGATAGATAACAGGACAAAAACAAAAAATAAAAACAAATGAGCGGAATGAACGACCCACGTCGTTGGCCGCGGGAAATTATAATGTAATTCAAAATTGATCTATTTCTCAGACCATTCGGTACAAGTCCCGGGCCCTAATAATATAATATATACGCGAATGCAATAATATTATACTCTGCCAGTAAACTGTGTCGTTATGAAATTAACTCGAGTGAGCAGATCACTGTTGTATTTTATTTTAGTTAATAAAGCTGTTATATACATATATGGCTAATTTAAGTGTTATCTATAGCTAATATTGTTTTCTAATTTGTGTAGTGAATTTATATTTTTAGTAACATAATGTGAACAAATTCGCTGAATGCACAAATAAAATACACGTCGTAGTACTAACCAACGACAAACATAATATAATAATGATACAAATGAAGATAACACATACGGCGGTCGTCGACATTGTCCATAAAAAATAAAAAACCCCAGATATTAATAACTTAAATAGGATACACTACGAAGAATAATAATAATATATTATAACGTGTATCAGAATAATAATTTGGTGGCCCTGAAAAGGGCCGTTTTAAGTGGATATAGCGCGCGACTAACATCGAAATGCTTATTTGGAACTGGTGTACTTGGTCACGGCCTTGGTGCCTTCACTGACGGCGTGCTTGGCCAATTCACCGGGCAACAGTAGACGGACTGCGGTCTGGATCTCCCGGCTGGTGATGGTCGAACGCTTGTTGTAGTGGGCCAGACGGCTGGATTCGGCGGCGATGCGTTCGAAAATGTCGTTGACGAAGCTGTTCATGATGCTCATCGCCTTGGAGGAAACGCCGGTGTCGGGGTGCACTTGTTTCAACACCTTGTAGATGTAAATACCGTACGATTCTTTCCTCTTCGGCTTGCGCTTCTTGTCGGACTTGGTGATGTTTTTCTGCGCCTTGCCGGACTTCTTCATGGCCTTGCCTGCGGATTTACCTCCTGGTGCCATAGTAACTGCGGTCGTACACGGTTTGCGGGTCGTCGAAATAGTTAGCCGGTAGCTGGTGGACGAATGATGGTTCGAAAATCGTTTACGCTCATATTTATTACGCGTCGCGACTTGGTTTATCGAGTACGATTTGTAAGAGTCGACGAAAAAACGACGAGTAAGATTAACACTTTGTGTTTAAAGGCGAACCCTACGATTTGCCGTTTTTTCATCGTCAACGTCCATGCATCGAAGAAAAACACGACGAGTGTAAACAACACTTTGCACTGAACGTTTATATTTACAAAGTGTGGTTTTTCGTCGTCGTCATTTTCAAACGTAGGCCAACATACAGACGCATTTACGTCGTATAAGTGTATAAATACCGATTTTAGCCTGTTCCGATCATCAGTATCGTCTGGATTTTCTCTCGTTTCACTACACGACAATCTACAATCAAGCATCATGAGCGGACGCGGCAAAGGAGGAAAAGCAAAGAGCGGCAAATCGAAGACCCGGTCGTCCCGTGCCGGACTCCAGTTCCCGGTCGGTCGTATCCATCGTCTGTTGAGGAAGGGCAACTACGCCGAGCGCGTCGGTGCCGGCGCTCCCGTGTACCTGGCCGCCGTCATGGAGTACTTGGCCGCTGAAGTGTTGGAATTGGCCGGTAACGCCGCCCGTGACAACAAGAAGACCCGTATCATCCCTAGACATTTACAGTTGGCCATCAGGAACGACGAGGAGTTGAACAAACTGTTGTCCGGCGTCACCATTGCCCAAGGTGGTGTGCTGCCCAACATCCAAGCCGTCCTTTTGCCCAAGAAGACCGAAAAGAAAGCTTAAGAACGCGTCGTCGCCGTATTTATACATATTAAAACGGCCCTTTTCAGGGCCACCAATATTAACTATTTTTACAACACTCTTGTTGTTTTCGGCATAGATGATGTGTGGCGTTGTGCTAAATATCGTTGTATTATTTTGTCAAGCCTTAGCAAATATTTGTAGCTTAGAATTTCAGCAAATCTACTTTAATTTTTTCTTTAGGTCAATAACAATTTATAAAATATGACTATAACTCGAACTGGAAATAATATTTAAGTGTAATATAAATAAATAATTTTTTTTTTTTTTCCAACATTCCAGTTTGCTATTTAGCTACATCAGCCGGCACTACAATGATAACGTCATTGGTTAATATCGAAATATTGTCATCGATATTAATAGATATTATAGATTTAGATCAATATTATATTATTGTGATAGTAAATTAGTACTATATCATATATGTCTATTTCGCCAATGGGCTATAATTATAAAAACCGTATATTACCCACGTGCGATTCTACTACTTGTATAATATACAAATATACAATTAGTATGTTATATTTTTTATATTAAATTATACGTTTAGTTTGTTTTATTGTTTTATGTCAACTAACATGTATGTTACAAAGAACATAATAGTCTGTATGTACCATAAAAAATATTAGTTTGAACAATTACAAATGTATACCGTTAAAAAACTACTCGTGTAGTTATTTATATTATTATAATGGCAATACGCTACAACGTTTTGTCAGTTTTTACAATATATATATACTTGATAAAATTAACTATTATTATGCACCTCCAGTCTCATAACTTAGAATACTCATTAAATATACTCGACTGCATTAAATGACATAAACGTTAACCGACAATTGTAAATAATATAAAATGGTGGCCCTGAAAAGGGCCGTTTTAAAGAACAGTAGGTAGGGTGCAAAGCGAACGGTCGTCGGGAATTAACCCCCGAATCCGTACAGAGTGCGGCCTTGGCGTTTCAGAGCGTAGACCACGTCCATGGCGGTGACGGTCTTCCTCTTGGCGTGCTCGGTGTAGGTGACGGCGTCGCGGATTACGTTTTCCAGGAACACCTTCAACACTCCGCGGGTCTCTTCGTAGATCAGGCCGGAGATACGTTTGACACCACCGCGGCGGGCTAACCGACGGATGGCCGGCTTGGTGATTCCTTGGATGTTGTCCCGCAGCACTTTACGATGACGTTTGGCGCCTCCTTTTCCCAAACCTTTTCCTCCTTTGCCGCGTCCGGTCATTGTTGCTGATTGTCGTTCGGAGAGCTGCGTCGGACTGATGAAACAAGTCGAATGATGCCCGGACAACGTTTTCGCGTCGTATTTATGTAATCGGGCCGTCGCGCGGACCAATCACGGCGCGGTATCGCGCGAACCCCCTCTGTTTCGGCAGGCCGTTCCGTCGACCAATGAGAACTCGCGCCTACTATCCGAATTTGTATATAACCAGCTCGTTCGGTGTGCGGAGACACATTCGACCGTTTCGAGTTTTTACACACAGTCTACGATCTACCGACATGGCCCGTACCAAGCAAACCGCCCGCAAATCTACCGGAGGCAAGGCTCCCAGGAAGCAGTTGGCCACCAAAGCCGCCCGCAAGAGCGCACCGGCGACCGGAGGAGTGAAGAAACCCCATCGTTACCGTCCCGGTACCGTGGCTCTCCGTGAAATCCGTCGTTACCAGAAGAGCACCGAGCTGTTGATCCGCAAATTGCCGTTCCAACGCTTGGTCCGCGAGATCGCCCAAGACTTCAAGACCGACTTGCGTTTCCAGAGCTCGGCCGTCATGGCTCTGCAAGAAGCCAGCGAAGCGTACTTGGTCGGTCTGTTCGAAGACACCAACTTGTGCGCTATCCACGCCAAGCGCGTTACCATCATGCCCAAGGACATCCAGTTGGCTCGCCGTATTCGCGGAGAACGTGCTTAATCGTCTCAATACACTACAAATCCTCTTTAAAACGGCCCTTTTCAGGGCCACTACATGCGTTACAATTATTTCTTTATAGACCTTACAGCGGGCGCCGCGCTGTTGGTAAAATGAATACAACAGTTTTGTACTTAATAGTTTTATTATTATCGACGGTGGTGGGTACCCCCCCGAGAATGTTGTTACTTACATTTTTAAATTAATGTTGAAAATTCCCAACGACCCGTTTTTATTGAAGTATTATTTATATTCAAAAAAAAAGCGGGTAAAAGAATAGGCGGTAGACACGGCGGTGGCGATGGACGACGAACGGGTCGGTGTAGCGTTAGGCACAGTGTGAAACGTATTTTTGGCGCGCGCGGGAAGTAGTCGGCGGCGGCGGCCGCGTTATAGTCGATATGAGTTTGTTAGGTTGTAGAACGCGGTGTGTAAAGGAATTATTATTTTCTATCCGGTTTGTCCGACGGGAGGGATGGACGCGTTACTAAAAAAAAAAAAATAAAAAACCCCGTAGATTGTGGCGCGTCGTTTAAAACTATGTTATCTGAAAGTAGGTAGATACGGGCTCCGCACGTTTCGGCGGCACTGAATTTAAAACACACGGAGAGAGTGACGATATCAATAGGTTCTGATAAGTTTGTGAAAACTGAAAACTAAATAATAATATATCACTTGCTAATGTGAAATGGCCATTGTTGAGCTGGCGTTTGTATTTTGTGTATCGAATAGCCTATGTACAATTGATTATAAAAGTCAAATTTTTTTTTGAAATTTTGGGAAAATATGAAAAAACCCGTTTAATAAAATGTCCAAAACAAACAGTTGTTACCTGTAAATTGCAATTTTTTTTTGTAAAAAAATATTTTCCCAACCACGTTTAAAATGAAAAAGTAAAGTAGGTTCGGCACTCAAATGTGAGTAAACGAAAAGTTTTGGACTATTTCTGGAGTAAAAAAAAAAGAACATGACGATTTTATTCATAAAATAAATTTTGTACTTCTAATTTTACAATAATAAATTAGCATTTTCGTTTAATAAAATGAGAAATAATCGTTTCCGACTTTAATATTTTAAAATACAATATGTAATACCTATGTGAAAACCGTTATGTTGATAATACGTTTTTATTCGACAAACGGTCCAATATTACATGCCTCATGGCAATTACTGCAGACGATAACTTTTGGAAATGGGCCTACACATAAAGTATATGTTTATCAGGTAAAAAATGGGTTATGGAAATTTATTTCAAGACAAAATAAACCAAAACGTTATCATAAAACTTAAAAATAATAACACCGATATTAATTTTATGAAACGTAATCGGTTTTGTAAACGGGCTACTCGTTGTTCATACATTGTGCTGCCTCGACGATCACGGGCGAGTCTAGATATTTAACAATACTACTATTGAGCAAACGTAATAAATCAGTCTTGGACTTTCGAAAATGTATAAAATAAATTTAAACAAATGTAAAGACGTCTTAATCGCGACGGTTTACTCGTTCGAATCGGTTAACGATTTAATTAAAATAGAGTTAAGCGTTTGGCAGTCTTTTTTTTAATAGAAATCGGGACGGCTTTAATAGCCGAATAGGTAATATATTTTTACAATGACAATTAAAATTGTTTTTACTATTTTCGGTGTAATCTTAAGTCGATTCGGTCGGTGTTGCCGCCGTCAAAATATCGCATAGAGTTTTGATGATAACTACGCGACACGTAAAACTACTAACGACCCAAATTCGACACCGCCCCCTTCGGTCTCTTCATACCGCAGACTCTTAGAGCCTACGCGATAATTTTTCAATACACGTGCAGATTGCGAATCGAAAAGATTTTTTAGTTTAACTCGAAATTAACGAGTCCTAATCGACCTCGAAAGAGGTGTATCGTTGAATAGTCGGACTGGTCGGAACAACCTCCTGCGGCACGTCGGCCGTCGATTTAAAGTGAAAATTCGACCGACCGACGGCTTTGCTATAACGTTGGCTTTAAGGAGAACGAGATTTGTCGCCGTTACGTGATTTTCGAGTGGAAAAAACGAGATGAAACGGAACGGGATCACGTCAAAACGGAAAATTCGATTCCGTAAACGTTTACTAGTCGGTATGGCGGCGAGTATATAGACGGCGTGATGGCCAAACGCGGGTTATACACACCGTTCCTGTTCGTTTTACCAGAGTACCAGAGTCTATTTCAAACCGCTTCACCATGACCGACACCGCAGTCGCCGCCCCAGCACCAGCCGCCTCGTCGCCGGCCCAGGCCAAGTCGCCGAAAAAGAAGTCCGCCGCTCCCAAGGCGAAGAAAGCCGCACCGGCCCATCCTACCACGGCCGTGATGGTGATCGCAGCCGTCAAGGAACTGAAGGAGAAAAAAGGATCGTCGTTGCCGGCTATCAAGAAATACTTGGCCGCCAACTACAAAGTGGACGCAGCCAAGCTGGCGCCTTTCATCCGCAAATTCCTTAAGTCGGCCGTCGCCAGCGGCAAGCTGGTCCAGACCAAGGGCAACGGAGCGTCGGGCCATTTCAAATTGGCCGCGGAAGTCAAAAAAGAGAAGAAGGTAGCGCCGAAAAAGAAGCCGATCGCCAAGAAAGCGGCGGTGTCCAAGGCGCCCGGAGCGGCCAAGAAGAGGAAGAGCACCGGTGCCAAGAAACCGAAATCCGGCGAGCCCGCCGCCAAGAAGGTGAAAAAGGTAGCCGCAGCGCCTAAACCCAAAGCCGCGAAACCGAAAAAGTCTCCGGCCAAGGCTAAGAAAGCGCCGGCCACCAAAGCCAAGGCACCCAAGGCGAAGAAGGTGGCAGTCAAGAAGACGGCAGCGCCCAAAAAGAAGGCGTAATTTGTTAAAAACACTCTCTCTAAACCCTTAAAACGGTCCTTTTCAGGACCACCAAATATTTATAAAATACTAATATACACACAATAAACGTGTGTCGGTCACCGGCGGTGTCTCGTACCGATATTTAATATTTTATAGATTATAGTAATACAAACTACGGTAAGTAACAGTGGTTGAAATGGAATGAAAACGTTAAAGCGACTACAATACGGGTAAATACGTTTGTTATTGTATATTTAGGAAAATGATGTCCTACAGATACAAACTTAGAATAAATCCGTAGTTTATCAACTGTTAGTTGGTATTACCCATAGAATATAAATAAAATAGAATTATGACAATCGTATTTTAAACAGATTGAAAGGGCAGGGGTGACGCTTTACCCGACGCCTTTAGAACGGACGAGCGGGAAAAATTAATAATAATAAAAATACCAACTATAAAAAAATACTTGGCTATCGCAGATAACAACATTTAATTGATTTGACAATACATAGGACTGTCTGGCCAGTCCTAAACCCTAATTGACTTATAATTACAAGTATGGCTGTATGCCCATAAGTAAACAAAGAAAAACAAAACTTTAAATATACCAAAATAACAATAATTATAAAATATTACAAATTGATCTGACTGATTAAAAACGGAAAATAACAACAGACGCGGCCGCTGTGCGTTAAACGGCACACGCGAGAGATAGATAACAGGACAAAAACAAAAAATAAAAACAAATGAGCGGAATGAACGACCCACGTCGTTGGCCGCGGGAAATTATAATGTAATTCAAAATTGATCTATTTCTCAGACCATTCGGTACAAGTCCCGGGCCCTAATAATATAATATATACGCGAATGCAATAATATTATACTCTGCCAGTAAACTGTGTCGTTATGAAATTAACTCGAGTGAGCAGATCACTGTTGTATTTTATTTTAGTTAATAAAGCTGTTATATACATATATGGCTAATTTAAGTGTTATCTATAGCTAATATTGTTTTCTAATTTGTGTAGTGAATTTATATTTTTAGTAACATAATGTGAACAAATTCGCTGAATGCACAAATAAAATACACGTCGTAGTACTAACCAACGACAAACATAATATAATAATGATACAAATGAAGATAACACATACGGCGGTCGTCGACATTGTCCATAAAAAATAAAAAACCCCAGATATTAATAACTTAAATAGGATACACTACGAAGAATAATAATAATATATTATAACGTGTATCAGAATAATAATTTGGTGGCCCTGAAAAGGGCCGTTTTAAGTGGATATAGCGCGCGACTAACATCGAAATGCTTATTTGGAACTGGTGTACTTGGTCACGGCCTTGGTGCCTTCACTGACGGCGTGCTTGGCCAATTCACCGGGCAACAGTAGACGGACTGCGGTCTGGATCTCCCGGCTGGTGATGGTCGAACGCTTGTTGTAGTGGGCCAGACGGCTGGATTCGGCGGCGATGCGTTCGAAAATGTCGTTGACGAAGCTGTTCATGATGCTCATCGCCTTGGAGGAAACGCCGGTGTCGGGGTGCACTTGTTTCAACACCTTGTAGATGTAAATACCGTACGATTCTTTCCTCTTCGGCTTGCGCTTCTTGTCGGACTTGGTGATGTTTTTCTGCGCCTTGCCGGACTTCTTCATGGCCTTGCCTGCGGATTTACCTCCTGGTGCCATAGTAACTGCGGTCGTACACGGTTTGCGGGTCGTCGAAATAGTTAGCCGGTAGCTGGTGGACGAATGATGGTTCGAAAATCGTTTACGCTCATATTTATTACGCGTCGCGACTTGGTTTATCGAGTACGATTTGTAAGAGTCGACGAAAAAACGACGAGTAAGATTAACACTTTGTGTTTAAAGGCGAACCCTACGATTTGCCGTTTTTTCATCGTCAACGTCCATGCATCGAAGAAAAACACGACGAGTATAAACAACACTTTGCACTGAACGTTTATATTTACAAAGTGTGGTTTTTCGTCGTCGTCATTTTCAAACGTAGGCCAACATACAGACGCATTTACGTCGTATAAGTGTATAAATACCGATTTTAGCCTGTTCCGATCATCAGTATCGTCTGGATTTTCTCTCGTTTCACTACACGACAATCTACAATCAAGCATCATGAGCGGACGCGGCAAAGGAGGAAAAGCAAAGAGCGGCAAATCGAAGACCCGGTCGTCCCGTGCCG